TTTTCCTTTCGCTCTTCTGTTTTTCCTTGTATCACGGAAAGATGATCGTGGCTTTTGTATAAGATCCAAGCCAAACCCATATCTCTCCCAATTTTAGGCATACTCAATTATTGACGTCCACATGAAAAATTATGATCCTTTTATTACATTTGTTATGTCACCGGTTATGGGTCCATATATGACTCCATGGGTTCTTCCAAAAGAGTAATATAGTGTTGTCAACTGATGTTCCATATTGCACGTATATGAGACAGCACTGAGTAATTAATAAGTTAGGTGCATCTTTAACGTATTAACCGCATTTTCGAGCTTCAAGTTCTAAAAGACGAGCAGAGTAAGAGCCTATACAGTATGGGATGAGCGAGCTACTTCCTTATTTACAAAATGTTATTAGCACAACGCTCGTCACACATGGCTTGCAAATGTGACAATTGAATTATGTTAATAAGTTAAACTTGAATATGACTTTGATATTATTAAGAAGTTATTCATATCATCAACTTTTAGAAGTGTGTTGCTAATTTATTCTTCAGTATATCTTGTCATGAGTTCTTTAATGATAAGTGTTGGGGAAAATACGCTGAAATTTCCATGAAGTCGGATCTATAAAAGTGAAATAAAAATAAAAATTGGACACACCAAATTGATAACGGAGTTCGGCCAATAATGCCTACGTCTCCGGACTACTGCAGATATTTTATTGGGAAAAAGAAATACACTCGTGTTTACAAAACACTCTCAAACTCACTCACAACTCACAACTCAAATACACACATAAGCTAAATTTTTATTAGCTCGCTCTCTCTTTCTCTTCTCTTATGTTTTTCTTTTGTGTTTTGGTATTTTGTTGTGGTGTCTTGCTTCTGTCTGATGTCCTCTATTTATAGAGGGGAAATGCAATAAGAATTGCACACCAATCATCCACCGGCTGCTGCAAAACTTCAAGAATTGTGGGCTGCTCCTTTTCCCTTTTTTTTTCTTCTTTGGTGTGCTGTCAAAGGAGATGGGCATCGCAGCCCTTTTTGACTCAACAATCTCCCACTTGAGGACTGATTTCAATCTGTCCTCACACCTCAATTACTGCAGTAGTCTTCTCAGGTCTGTTATCCTAGCAGGCCAACTGAAGTTGAGCACAACTTCAGTTTGTCAATGGTCACCACCTTCGTTAGCATATCTGCAGGGTTTTTGCTTCCTACAATCTTCTTCAAAGTCAACACTTCATCCTCAAGCAGAGATCTGATGAAATGATATCGTATGTCAATGTGCTTAGTTCTGGAGTGAAACACTGAGTTCTTTGCCAGATGTATTGCACTCTGACTGTCACTGTGCAAGACACTCTCTTTTTGAGTGAAACCCAACTCTGCTAACAATCCTTGAAGCCATATCAATTCTTTACTGGCTTCTGTCACTGCTACATACTCAGCCTCTGTAGTGGATAGAGCAACAATCTTTTGTATCCGCGACATCCAACTAACAGCTGTAGCTCCGACAGTGAAAACATAA